TCTCCTGCAGCAGATTCTCAGCCTTCGCCTCGTGCCCCGCGTGGGAAATGGCACCACCACCTACTCCAGCCCGCTCTCCACCTTCCCAGGTACCTCCCTTTTTGGAGTGGGGCCTGCCCGCCGGGGCCGCTGGAGGCCCGCGGCCCCCGGGCTGCCCTCACAGCCCTTCTCTCCGCAGAGATGTGGTACGGCGTCTTCCTGTGGGCACTCGTCTCCTCCCTTGCCTTCCACGTCCCGGCCGCGTTGCTCGCCCTCTTTACGCTCCGGCACCACAAGTACGGCAGGTTCATGTCCGTGAGCGTCCTGCTGATGGGCATCGTGGGACCCATCACCGCCGGCACCCTCACAAGTACGGCAAGTGCCCGGCAGTATCGGCCGGGGGGCTCTGGTGATCAGAGGTTACCTTCAGGAGCGCATGGAATAGCGATTGGACCATGCCCCGTGTCGAGCCCTGCATCGGGCATACCAAACGTGCCCATCGGGTGCAGAGCCAAGGGGGCTTTCACATTTCTGAGCACCTGGGGGAAAATCTCACAGAGGTTTGGTGTCAGTGCCCAGAACGGGGTAATGTTTGCAGCCTGTGGGCTGTGGGTGGGGGATCTTGTGACAAGGGTATGTCCCAAACCACCCCAACACCCACACCTGCTGGAGGCCTCAGCAGTTTCAGCACCAGTTTACCCATTGCCACCAGTATGCATTGGTTACTGGCTGAAGTTTGTCAGACATCCCCAGCCCAACATTCTTGCTGGGTTCCCTGATGTGCAGGGAGAGGTTCAGACATCGCTGTTCTCTGCCCCAGCCTCACATCCCGAGGCTTTCCCTTCATCCCTGTGGCAGAGCAGCTGTCTCACGCTCACATCTCGGCTTTTCCCCCTCTCCACAGGTGCTGCCATTGCTGGAGTTTACAGAGCTGCAGGAAAAAAAATGATTCCCTTTGAGGCCCTCATTTTTGGCGTGGGCCAGACGTTCTGTGTGGTGGTGGTTTCGTTCCTGCGCATTCTGGCCACTCTGTAGTTCCTCTGGAGAGGCTGGAGAACACAAACCAGAGGGGGAGTAAAGGACCTGCTGCCTCAGAACAAATTACAGGGAGCACAGCTCCAGCCTTGTGCTTCTTCCACTGATTTAAGGAATTGGGAGGACTTGCTCCTGCCTCCAGCCTGGCTTGAAACTTAAAAATTGTGAATTTTGTTACTTTTTGGTAACATTAAGTGCCAAGTGAAACTCTGTTTTCCTGGAGGGTTGGAAAATGGCTACCAGGGGAGGAGATCCGGGTACCTTTCACCAGTGATGAATTGTAGTAACAGGACATGACTAAAATGTGACACCAGCTGTGCTGGGGTGGGAACAGGACCAGAGTGACATCGTGCCCTCAGAGCTCACTCACTGCTTTGTGGCTTGGTTTTGAGTGAACCTGAAGCTCTTTTAATGTCTGTTTTTAAATTAAAATGTTAATTTGTTTTCTTCCTGGCCCAAACTTCTTAATACCAGGTCACAGCCATAGTGGATTTGGGAACAGCAAGAGGAAAACTCATTTTAGATGAGAGTGCAAATTTGCTTTTAGGAGCTCTGGCTGTGAATGCTGCACAGGGGAAATCGCTGGTATAAAAAAGATTTTGTGAATTTTGTTACAGCAAAGCCCTTCTGGCCCTGTGAATGTTCTGCCCAGGGACAAAGCACAGTGGAATGGCACTCCAGAAATCCCAGGTGTGCATGTGGGTGTGCACAGCTTCTCCTCAGTCTTTGAAGGAAACTCATGTTTTCAAATGACCCTGTTCTCCTTTGACTCACTGATGCTGTTCATGTTGGTGTGGTGGAGTTGGGTGTCTGCACTGATCTGGAAGTGGCACTGGCCAGCTTGGGTAAAATCCCTCATGCTGCTGCCAGCTGCGTGGCCAGGCTGGCTGGCATGTCCCCAGTGTGGGGAACGTGCCGCGTGTTCAGCACCCAGCCAACAGCGTGCCAGGGATTGGGAGAGCTGCAAGGCTCATGGCAAGAGCCTGGATGATTCCTGTGTCCATGTGAACACAGCCCCAAATCAACCCTTCTCCACAGGCAGTAGTCTCCTCGTTAATAGTTTTAGTTTGTTTTGGTTTTAGGAGACTTTTAACTAATTGGTAACTCTGCACTTGTGCCCAGAGTTGTGCCACATGGCTTGGGCACTCGAGCAGCTAATTGGGTGCTTCCTGGGGCTTGGTTCTTTGGGGAAGCTGAGGTTGTATTCCAGGGATGTGGCTGGTGGTCAGTGTAGCCACCCCTAGGGGTTTGCTGTGGTCTGTGTTTGTACCCAGCTCACACCATGTGGGCTGCAGAGAGAAAGTGCTGTCTATGTCCAGCCTTTCAAGGGACAGTTCCCATCTGTGTCTTCATTTAATTCCTCTGGTTTCCAAATCAGTTCCTTTTATACCTGCAGCATTTCCTAGGGTCATTTATCTACTGTGAGCCCATATCCTTAGTGCTGAAATAACTGGATGTGGCACTTAGTGCCATGTTCTGGATGATGAGGTGGTGACCAGCCAAAGGTTGAACTCAATCTCAGAGGGCTTTTCTAAACTAAATTGATTCTGTGATCCTTCAATAGGACAGTCTTTATCATAGAAAAGGGTTTCTCTCTGCACAGACTTCTCAGGAGTGGTTTGTCCATGGAGAGAGGTGTTTTGCAGCAGCTACTTACTGAGATTCCTATAAATTTTAGCCTATGTTAATTCAGGGAATATAGATGCACAGTTTAGGAAATAATTTAATGTGAATCCTCTAGGTGGGTGAGGTCCAAGTGGTGTAACATACACTAAACCCTGGATCTGTGGAGAGCCCTGTGTGCTGTGCTGCTTGTAGAGAGCCAGTCTTCCTGCCAGGGCAGAAACAATGAAAAAAAAGGAATAAGCTTGCTTTCTTTTCCCTCTTCCCACTTGGTATTTCCGCATGTGTACAGAGTGCACAGTTTAATTTACAGGTATTATCCTGTGTTTTACTGGATGGATTAAAAGTATCTCATGAAATTTGGATAGGGTGGGTCTGGCTTTACCTTTCAGGTGACACCAGAAACCAATGTCCTGAGCACCTGCTGTGCTCTCCTTTACCCTGCCCCGGTGCCTGGCACCGCTCAATAGCCATTAAGCTGATTGCAACTGAGAAAGCACTTTATCCACGTGCCCCGTGCTACAGCAAGAGGAGGTTTCCTTGCAGGAACAGGACTGGGGTGCAGGACACAAATGGGGCTGTTACAGAGCTCACAAGTGAAAAATTGCTTGGTAAAGTCACTCAGTGCTGGGTGAACTGAAAACCTCCTATTTTCTATCCCCTGGAATCTCCGAGAGTCTGTTTTGAGGGGTTCTGGTTTACTTGAAGAGTTGTCAGCTTGACCCTGTTTGGAGCTGGCCATGTCTATCTATGCCTGGATGCTGTGAAATTTTCAGGGAATTCTTGCACAAAAGGTGAACAATCAGCTGATTTGTCTTGACAGCACAGGAGGCAAGTTCTTTGTGTCACCTTATGCTCACAGAGCATCCTCCACTCCACTGGCTGCTGCTGGCAACCTCCCTCTCCAGTAAAACCAGAGCTAAACAGAAAGGAGGAGTAGCCTTGAGTTGAAGCACCAGATTCTGGCAGTTGAAGCACTAGTGCAGTTTCTTCCTGTCATTGGTTTGTCCTTCTCTTTCCATTCCTTTATTCCAAGTGAGGCATGTGGAGGAATCCCTTCAGTTTTCATCAGGTAGACTTTGCTCAAACTTGCCAAAAAAACTGCAAAGAGCTGGCAAAAACATCAACACTGAGGTGTCCTAGGCTCAGCAGTGCTGTGAGCCTCTGCTGGGGAGCTGAGCCAGTGTGCTGGTTAAAGAAACACCTTCTGGAGAAGCTGCCTGCCCTGGAGGAACACCCATTTATGCCAAGGCTTGTGGCTCCCTGTGTGTGACATCCCCTGCTCCCACCTGGCTTCCTCTCACAGCTGCAGCTGTCATGAACAAATCTTTGTATGAAAATTCTGTACATTTTATTTTTCTACTGACACTCCTAATCCCAGTGGTGATTATCAGTAAATTCTGTAACTCTTGAGGTGAATGAATGTGTGTTTCTTCTGCAGCATGACAAGGGGGCCTGGGTTGTGCTTTTGCAAATGAGCTGCATTCCTGCTTTGCTTGGGGCCATATGCAGCAGAAATGTCCTGGTTCTGGTGGTAAATGCTGTCTCCATTAGGAGCTGGACCTGCATCTACAGCCAGGCACCACAGTCTGAGGTGACATCTCACTGCTGCCCAGTTGCTGGGGACAGGCTTAGCTGTTGTCCCTGTCCCTGAGGGGACATGCTGGGACCCTGCAGTCCCTAGGTTTGGTGCTGACCTGCTCCCAGCCCCTGAGGCTGTTCCCACCCTGGACCAGTGGCTTTGCTGGGGCCAATGTTCAGTCCCTGCACACCACTTGAGCCCTTCTGGGCATGCAGGTGCAGGACCCCACAGCTCCCCTGCCTGGCTCTGGCTAAGGCCAGGCCACAGCAGTGCCTGCACTGCAGGGCTGGCATTGCTGTTTATCCATGTACAACCTATAGAGCCCAAGATGAGTCAAACAAGTGTGGCAGCTGTGCTTGGTGGACATTTCAAGAGGGCTGGTAACAACCCTGCCTTCACTGCTCCCCCAAACTCCAGAAGAGCATGCTTCAGGATCAGAAGTGTCCTGAAGAATTCACATCCCAAGTCATCAGGGATCCAGGAGGTTTTATTGACAGTAAAAGGTCAACACGTTCTCTTGGTTTCCTCGTGTGAGGATGATGGGGGGTCTCAGGTCCTGTGAGAGGGTTTCGAGCCAGGCCATGTAGAGGGAGCTGGGGCAGCGGCCCTTCCTGCCGATGGGCGGAGTGCTGCGGCACAGCGAGGGCTGTGAGGCATGGCAGAGCCATCCACAGCCCCTTTCTCAGTCCATTGCAGGTTATTTCCCTAAAAAGGGGCAACACCACATCCTCCCCCCACCAACAGGACCCAGTCTGGAGCCCTAGGTATCTTCCAAGGTCTATTCCCTGTGGTGCAGCACAGTCTCACCACCGCATTAGGGTGTCTGTGCAGTATCTCCCTGCCCAGGGAGGGGTGAACATCCAGAGGAACCATTCCCACGGGGCAAGAAATGGGTATGAGGGCATTACTGGCACATACATGGCTATGAGTGCTGCATCCCGTGAGTAATCCAGCAAAATCTCATTCAGCCTCACTTGTCGGAGTGACTGTGGAGCAAAGAGCATTGAGAAATGCAAAGCAACGGTTTCCAGAAGGACTGAATTTTGTCTAAGAAGCAGGAGACCTTTTGCAGGAGCTCCCCCAGCACTGGTGCTACCTTGGCTCTGTTTTTATCGACTTCCTCATCAGAAATCTTCCAGGGACAGCCTTGTCTCATCTCATTCACTGTGGCCTCATCTTTGAAGCCATCATTCAGCCTGAAGGGAGCGATGAGTTCGTCAAACCTCTTGATGCTGCAACACAAGCAGACAGTGCTGAGGAAGAGGGTCTGGGCAGGTTTGGGGGTGCTGGAGGGCACAGGGAAGGGAAGGGGGGTGGTTACTGCTCTGGCCGGGGTTTCTGGTTGATGTCAGGGAGGATGTGGACCTCATGGAAGCCGAGGCGGAACTTGCTCAGCAGAGAGACAATCCTAATGGAGGGAAAAGGACACATTTTCCCAAAGTTAGCAGGGAATAGTAGCTCTGACAGGGACCTGCCACAGCAGAAAACCCTGCTGCTGGTTTCAGTTTGCACTTTGGGTTTTCCCACTCTGCAGCCACATTGGTTTCCAGAGAAATGAGGCAAAGCAGCCAGGTCAGAGCTCACAGATCCCATTATGATAAAGCTGGGAGTGCTCAGCAGGGTGGGAAGCAGCTTGTATCACCACCCATGGGACAGTGGCGGTGGCCACATGGCTAAGAGGTGAAGTGGCAGCCAGCACTTACGCCTTCCTCTCCTCGTCCATCCTGTTGATCTGCCCGCCAACAAACACCCGGATTTTGCACTTTCCCCACCGCTTCTTGCGCCCCAGGAGGTAGGGGATGAGCAGTGTGAGACCTGTCCCCAAAACACCCAGTGGGAGATGCAGCAGTGACCCCCAGGCTCAGCAGTGTTTCCTAGGTGCCAAAGGCCAGGGATGCCCTGGCCCCATTTGGCAGGGCCTGAGCCCTCCTGGGCACCACAATGGAGGTGCTGGGCTCATTGTCTGGACAGGAGGAAGGTGAAGGTTACCTCCATCATCAAAGAGCCAGTAGATGTCAATGGTCTTCTTGCCCTGCTCGCTCTGGAAGATGGTGCTCGCCTGCTGCTCACTGGCCAAGGTGGTGGGGTCCCCTGCCAGGGCAAGAGAGTCCTGATGTCAGCAAAGGGCACCGCTGGCCACAGATTAAAGGAATCACTTCCTCCTGGTCCCAGCCCTACTCTGCATCAGTGCTTGAAACCCCCACCCTGCCTACAAAATAATCCTCAGAGCTGGGGATGCTCTGGGCGGTCACAAGCCACAACCAACCTACCTGTGCCTGGGGCTGCTCTGCTGCCAGTGCCATTCTCAGGGTGCTCTGCTGCCTCAAACATGGGGTTAACTGAGGAGGGAGGAGAAGAGCAAGGGCAACAGCAGTGCCTTTGATCCCAGCACAGGAGTGATGTCCTGCCAGGACTGTGACCTTTGTCTGGGGACATGGTACTGGCTGGCACATCCCACAGCTCCACGTCTGTGCATCCCTGGCTGCCCAAAACCACTTACCATGTGCCTGCAGCACTCGGGAAACATTCAGCCCTTCCTTCATCCGCATTAAGCACACACCATACTTGAAATCGAAAGCATCACTGGAAGGAGGGAGGAGAAGGCAGTTAGTGGGGGTGACACTGTCCAGCTGGACCCTGCACACGTGGCTGCAGCCATCAGTGACCGCAGGGCCACCACCAGGTGCCAGTGTCCCTGAGAGGCGGAGGAGCTGGCGTGGCCGTACTGCAGGATGCCCACGTAGTCCTCCAGGCTCTGTGGAGATGCTGTCCGCCAGTTCCTCTTGTAGCCCAGCACTAAGATGTTAGGTCTCATCTTCCCAAGGCCAGCAGCCTACAGATAGATGTCCCCATGAGACCCCTCTGGAGGGACAGACAGACACAGGTGGTGTCAGTCCACTCAATGGGGGAGCAACACAAAGGGAGGTGCCTGGAGATTTTGGAGGGGGGGTCAGAGCTCCCGCAGGCTGCGACAAAGAGGAAGGACCCTGCTGCTGGAAGGCAAATGAGGGCTGTACCTGGATGAGCATTTGGACACCACTTCTCAAATCCTCAGCCACCACATCCGTGTAGAAAGCCTTGATCTTCCTCTTCATTAGCCACTTAGTGTGGCCATCTGCCATCAGCTGGGACTCTGTCATCTTCTGCTTCCGTGGTCCCTGCAGGAATCAGGGGCAGGAGCTCAGGCAGCCCCTTCCAACTGGTGGGCTTGCCACCAAGGACTTCTAGCTCCTCTCTTCCCAACTCATTGGCAAGAGGTAGATGTAACCACTGCACACATGGAGGGTTGCAGTGACAGCCAAGAAAACCAGTGAATCTAGGGAGTCGACAGCCAGTGCACACAATATCAACAGTCCTGTGGGTGCAGATGGGCTGGTTCTTACTGCACCCAATTACTCTGGAGACTTCAGGGCTGCAGGACCCACCCTGTCCTCTGAGCAACTACTTTATCCTTCCAAATCTTCTGCAATTAATTGAAAAAGGGAAGCCATAAGGCCACAGGGACATCCTGATGCTTCACCAATATTTCTCAACAACTCAGAGAGGCTTCCAGTTGACAAATTTGATCATCCAGCAGTACACAAGTGGACACACTTCTATCTCCACCCTGTGAGTGCACCTGGATACAATTGGATTTCCCAGCCCATCACCCACCGGTGGCCAGAGCCCCCAGGACAAGAAACCAACCAGCTTCTGCAGGTGACTCACAATCAGCACGTTGCCACAGAGCATCAGGCTGAGGTTCTTGGTGAAGGTCCCCACAAAATCCACCAGTGCTGGGCGGAAGTTGGGTGGGCCAGTGAGCACCAGGCACTGTGGTCTGCAGGCAGGGGAAAAAGGGAGTGAGGAATGGTACTTCAGAGGCATCCAGCCTCTTTGGAATGAGCCATGTCTCTTCTCCCATGCTTGGCCAGTGGCAACTAAGAGGAGCATCTTTAGAATGAGAAAGCATTATGTGGCCTGAAGGTCCAGTCTTACTCTTTGGTCTTTCTATATCAGATGAGACCAGTGTGTCTATGTCTGCCTGGAACAAGGAGGGAAGGGTTTGCCCAGTTTTCTACCTTACATGGCACAGACATGGGATTTTGGAGACAGACACATTTTGCTGTAGCTCCTAGTAACAGGGTGGTGGTGAGGATGTGGCCATGGGCACAAAACCTCCCTGGGTTTACTGGAGGCAGGAGCTGGCTCTTCATCCCCCTCCCTCCATGCCCAGCACTGCAATGAGCTGCTCTTACCTGTAGTTCTTGATGTGCTCATCCACTTCACTCAGCCCCACTGAGTAGCTGAGGGCCATGTTGTAGGAACTGGCTTGCACAGAGGAGCCCCAGTTGACATCTGCACAGGGAAGATGGATTAGCAACAGGGCCAGACACCTTCTGGGGCATTGCCAGTGCCAGGTTACCACCACCCACCTGGCTTTTTATAGAGGACATATCCCAGGAGGAAGATGACGATGCCAAAGGCAATGAGGGCTGCCCACCAGGTCAGCAGGAACATGATCACCACTGAGACAGCAGCTCCAAAGAGCGCAGTCCACTTGCTGTAATACCGAAAGGAGGGTCGCCAGCCTGCACGCAAACACACACAGCGGCCGCTGCCGGGATGGGGAGCCGGACGCGGAGCCGGCCACCGCAGGGCACGGCGTGGCGTGGCACAGCCCACCTGGGGAGTTGGTGATGGAGGCATGGAAGCAGCTGAAGTTGATGAGGGCGTAGGAGCAGAGGAAGAAGTTGGAGATGATGGGGGCAATGGCATTGAGCTCAGCTGCGGGAGGAGAAGGAGAGAGAGCTGTCAGTGGTGGCGACTGAGCCACCCTGCTGGTAGCAAG